GCCGAATCAGTAGGGTTCCCGTCGCCAACAACATCAATAATCGGATCCTCCTCCTCGGTTGTCTGGATGGGGGCTTGGGTTGCGCTCCCCTGACGAGGGGCCTCGACGTCGGGCTGAGCCCCTTGGGGAACTCAGCGTAGCTCATAAACCGGGCTCCCAGGAAGTCACGGCTCACATCGAATTGAAAGCCAACAGGGACATCACAAAACTGATAAGCCTGCCTGACGGCCTGCTGGAAACCGGCATCGTGTTGCGATAGAATTTACTCGGTTGCGTCGGCCTCAAACTTGGAAGCAGCTTCTTTCAATCGAGCAATCTCATTGGCGGAGGCGGAGGCGTCGGCCTTCATTCTTTGCATGGCCAACTTCAGATCGTCAGCCTCCCTTCGATGAGCATCAGCAACCCTCTTCAGTTCGTCGGCCGATTCAGTTAATTTGGCGTTCGCAGCCAACGCCTCCTTCACCGTACCCTCGGCTTCCCGCGGAGGCGTCGGCCTTCATTCTTTGCATGGCCAACTTCAGATCGTCAGCCTCCCTTCGATGAGCATCGGCAACCTTCTTCAGTTCGTCGACCGATTCAGTTAACTTGGCGTTCGCAGCCAACGCCTCCTTCACCGTACCCTCGGCTTCCCTGAGCCGACCGTAGATCCTCTCTTCCGAAACAGCATGTCGGTTCATGACATGCTTCGCAACAAGAGAAGTTCGAGTGTCGAGCTTGCAGAAGAGCTTATACGCGGCCTCGGCAGACATGCCCTCCAAGTACTGCAACCCGCCTCCGGTAACAAGATCTAGCCCGACCAAGTTCTCGGTTTGGACATTAGGAGTAAGGAAGTTCAACCCGGCAACCACGGCGGGGATGGCGAAGGTGCCGCAGCCCGATTGCTCCAGAGATAATTGTTTAGGGCGCTTACTGGAAGAGCTCGGTTCTATGTTCTGCTCGACAGCCCTAACCCGAGAGGTACTTCCCTTCTTCCTGGCATCGGCCACAGGAATGATCACGTTGGTCGGCTTTTCTCTCGGATTCTTCAAAGCCGCCCTAGCCGGCGGGACCTTCCCGCTAGCTTTTGCTTCCTTTGCCCTCTGAGCGAGAATGGCACTGACATCTAGCTTCCCTCCGGCCATTAAACCTGCAACAAAACAAATTTTAACATCAATTTAAAACTGATTAAACAACCGAGCCCTAACACACATACCTAGCAAGGCCGTTTCAAAGTGAGACGTTTCGAAAAGGTCCAACAACCCTCGGACAGGCAGACCCTTCGGTAATTTATCGAGCAATTCCACAATCTCTAAGTCCTCGGCAAGGAGCTTCGATGCTGGAATCGCTTCGAAACGCGTCGGGCGCCTCGTCCAATAAAAAGGGAACAAGGGGAAGCCTTCTCGGTCGTAGAAGCAATCCTTCAGTTCCGACCCCTAGCGAACCTTGAAAAATCCGTCCTTAAACCCCTTGTAAGAAGAAGTGAAAGCCCAAAGTAACCCGCGCTTCGGCACACGAGCCAACGAAACCCACCTCACTGGCTTGCTTGGGCGGCAAGTGTAATAGAATAGAAAAGCGAGTGGTCGGGGCGTTAGGCCGAGACTTAGGCACAAATTTCGGAATGCTTGCATGGCCGCCCAAGCGTTAGGATGCAGTTGGGTCGGCGCTACGTTCAAGGCTTGGAGGACTCCCATCTGAAAATCGTCAAAAGGCAGCTGCATACCGAGATCCTCGAACCAGCACATGTAGGCGTAGAAATAATCGTCTTCTTCGGGGCCCGGGTCCAAAAACAAGAAATCAGTGTTCGGCCCGTTGTCTTCGCACGCCTCGGCCAGTAGCGGAAACTCGTCATCCCCACTCCCAAAACACTTCTCCAGAGACACGAAAGTGTCCAACAGTCCCTAGTCGGATAACTTAGAAAAATATATCCCGACTTCGCCATCCACCCACTCATACCCGGACACCTCCACCGTGCCGTAGTCAATCCTGGCTTTACCCCGAACACTCGGACCGGCCACGCCTTTACCCCAGTTGTCACCAACCACTTCCAGCTCATCCCCACTAGATTCAGCGTGATGGGTTTCGGCATGTGGCCTCGGCTGGTCATCCCAGCCGATACCTCTATCGTCGACTTCGGTGGCCCGCGCCAAGGTCGTAGCCAAGGTCATCGGGGGTGACACCTCTACCACCTCATCCCCGCTGTCCTCTTGCTCGGGATAATCAGAAGGGAACACCACCTCACATTGCAGAGGTGGCAACCTTGAGATCTCGCTCGAACCCGACCCCTCTCTATCCGACGCTGCGCCCAACGCCTCCGACGACGTCCAACTCCTAGCCGAGGAATAGCCCCTATCCATTTATTATCACAAAACAAAAAAATACAAAATTGTACCTTGATCGGTGTGTTCGGACAAATTCCTAAACTTAGAGACCTCGGAGGATTTACAGCAAGTAAATTCTCCAAATGCCCCCCCTATTTATAGGCAGGGGGAAAGTGGGAGGTGAAAAGACGCCCCTCAAGCTCGACCGTTCGATCTGGACCATCCAACGGTCTAGATTTAGTAATTCGTTGGACCCGTAACCGCTAGGGCCAACGTGGCAGGCCACGCCCATGAAGCTCTCGGCACTAGCTCTCGACAACTGAGGACTCGGCTAAGACCCGCCCCGATTTTGCCCATGGCTCTTAGCTTCCAAGGTCTCGGCGAAGACCTCTACAATCTCGAGTCCTCGGCGCCAGCTCTCAGCTTTCAAGGCCCCGGCATAGAACTACCTCGACTTTGCCCAACCATCAGCTTTCAAGATCTCGGTATAGACCTCTACAATCCCGAGCCCTTGGCGCCGGATCTCAGCTTTCAATATCCCGGCGTAGACCCCCACAGTCACGAGTTCTCGGCGATGGCTCAACATTCAAGATTTCGGCAACCCCGACAATCACCAAGTCCCCATCACTTAAGGCCTCGGCATGGACCCTCTAAACGCCCCAGCTTGAAAATCGGCCTAGTAGCCAGACGAACCTGATCCTCCGAGGTCTCGGCAAAGACCTCACCAGGCGGGTACCTCGATATACTAGTCGTCATCCACCCTTCTGAACCGACGTAAAAAACCTAATACTTTTAGACCGTCTTCGTCCCTCTTATCCTCAACGCTGCGGGGGTTGTATACCGTATGGGACCGAAGCCAACCCGACCGATCCCACCGAACACCTGAACCCAATGCCACTACCCGAACACACCGACCGCTTACCAAGCAAAAGGGGTCGGTCTAGTCGGCTGATCCCCGGGACTCCACCAGTATAATTACGAAAGGATTAATTAAAGGAATAAGTCGGATTAGCCCCCTAATTTTCCAGGGCCCAGCTCTTAATCAGGCCCAATAAGAAACACTATAAATAGACCACCTTCGAGGTACGTAACCAACTTTCAACTACCGCATTTATTACGCCGAGCACTTACTTGAGCATTGGAGTGTCTTTGCAGGCACACCCCCCTCACATCGGACTACCCGGATAGGAACGAGAAGACCGAGACCCAAGATCCGACCCGCTACAACAGATAATTGAAGTGTGTTTCCTAACACAGGAACAATTTTATTTGAATACGGTTTAAAACAAAGTGTAAAAGTTTATTTAATAGAATAAATGTTCTTTATTCGAATACGTTTTCAAAAGAAAACGTAAAGTTTCATTCGAATAAGATTTTGTTTATTCGAATGAAAATTTAGAAGTTTATTTATTTATTTTATATTTATTAATTTAATTTTAATTAATTTTTTTTATATCTTAAAGGTATTATTTTAAAAATATTTATTACTTTTAATTAATTAATTATTTATTTTAAAATATTATTTTTTTAGTTATGTAATGTTTAATATAAAAATTAATTAAAAAATAATAATTTTTTTATTTTATTACTTATTTGTTTATTTCTCTTTTCTCTTTTTTATATATTTTATTTTTCACTTTTTTCTATCTTACTAAACATAGATAATATTATTTCTCACATATTTATTTTCAACCAAACAATTAAATTTTTATTCACCTATTTCTTTTCGTTCTATTTTTCACTTATTTCTTCCCTTTCTAACAAACACACAGGTAGTGATTAGTTGCTACCATTTCTTTTGAAAACTGCATTATATCAACAATAAAAACATGTGGGAACAAAAAATGAGCGAGAAATTCTACATGGATGTGGAATGGTCATGATTTGTGCTATTGCTGCTAAAAGGTGAGTCAGATGGAGATACTTTAAGACACAAATTCCTAAGCTACCATGTAATGTATATAGGACTACAGGTACACCATTGTCTGTCCTTTATTTTTTATGATCGCAAGGTGCACAATAATATGTTGATTGATGACCGAATACAACACAATATGAATTCCATTTTTCCTTTTCTGTCCCACGTGCCTCGCGCCAATATCCACTACCAGCTTGGATGTAATGAACATAGAATTCAGATTCACAATAGAAAACTCCTTTTACTAAAGGCTTCTCGATAGTAATTATTTCGACTCAACACACATTAAGTCCAACTCAGCATGAACCCCAGAAATGATCCAAGTTGACAATTATTGTTCATGGGGATGAGGACTCATGTAGTCACATGACATTCTCGATATCGGACACAAAGTTATATCACTAAAAAATGCTAGCGACTCTCTAAAATCTTACTAATATTTTTTTTTGATCGAGTTAAAATTGTCATTTAAAAAAGACATGATCTCTTATAAAGTCAAAAAAAAACATCAACTTTAGCAAAAATTTATGATAGAATTTGCATATTGTCTACCAACAAAAACAAAATTGAAAATCAAACCTAAATCACAATGTGTGAGCAAAAGACTCGACCAGATATGTTAATCGCTATCAGGGATCATCTGCTATGATTATATGGTCATACAGTTAACATTAATTTCTCACTTGAGCAAGTTCATCCGATTCCTATGATAATATAGGACTCTCAAAGTAAGGCAGTAAGCCAGAACCAAGTACAAATTTAGGCGCAATACATGGTTGAGGACATTTTAAGCTTAACTAAACTGATTATATAACATGCATGGATAATTTAAAAGTTATCACAACACTACTGTTCTCATACACGGCCTCCATGGTGATACAGGTACTACTAATACATTACATAGACAGTGCCATAAGTTAGACTGCCTCAATGGTTTATAATAGTAGTTAATATAAATTATAGTACACATAAATAGGTGACTCCTAGCATTAAAAAAATAATACTTTAACCAAGTACACAAGAATTATATTGCTTAATTTATTTGAAACTCTCCACTTGCATGAACCTCTTTGACCCTCTTGTCATACTCGTCTTCTTCGTCCTCCTCTTCCTCCACCTCCTCTTCCCCTTCATCTTCTTCACCTTCCCAGCCGAAACCTTTGACAGGCCGAGATACTGGAGGAGGGTCCCTTGCCTCGCCCACAATTTTCATTATCTCCTCCACACTTTGAATAGAGAAGCTTGGATTGCCTCTTTGGTAATAGGCAGCTTGAGCTGATTCAGTTAGCTCTCTTGGGAGATTCTTTAAAAACCATGGATGGTTCTTAATTTCCTTAAGACTGATTCTCTGTAAACAATAAGGACAACCAGTTCTGGCAGTTAGCTTGATGTAAGCAAGATCTTGATTCCTAATATCAAATGTAGTCAAGTGTTTTTCAAAAGCACCATGTTTAAATATAAAGTTTTGTCTATTGCTTAGAGTATGCATGATGCATCAAAGAAACTGGAGAATGAATTGATGGCAACATTAGCTACATTAAAATAGGGAGCCATGTATAGATGTCAAAAGTAAAAACCATAAAAATATTTTGATTAATAACGATTGAAAGGAATATAAGTAAAAATCTAAAAATTCTGTCAAGTTTTTATATAAAAAATATACAACCAATAACCAGCCAAGTCATTCTTCAGAGTCAGTACATGGCATCAAAATTTCAAAAGACAACCACCATAAGTTCTAAATAAAATATGGTAAGATTTCTCTTCAAATTTTATATGCCTCAATTTCTCAATGTCCTGGCTCTCCTACATAAATCTAAGAAAGGTAATATAGAAAACAGTGCAAAAGAGAGGGGAAAAAAAACCAAATTCAAGTTCTGGTTTAAACTCACAAGAGGTGTAAACGGAAACATCAAACCCTTACCAACCAACTAAACTGGAGGGTACCGGATTACAAATTTAGAATAGGAGCTGGGCATAGAATTTCTCACTAGGGATAGCTTTCAGTCAATAGGGTTTATTTCACCAGCAAAATTTCATTTGATTGGTTTTCATTGACATAATGATCTACAAGGGTTTTCAAGTGAACACAATAACAAGAGTGGGCTTCTGGAATATAAGACAGACAATACATACATGATTTAAACATACATAACAGTCTACCCAAATTGTAATAATAGCAGGGGGAGAAAAGTTACTTAAACACTGTAACATACCCTTAATGGATTTGCTACAAATATACGAGAAAGGAGGTGTTTGCAATCTTGAGATATATGAACATAATCAGGGATCTTGTATTGAACAGCCATTATACGCTGCAGAAAGACAGGAAATGGAGCTAAGATGATGCAATTATAACATGAAACAAAATGAAAATCAGTATTAAAAGGATGATATTATACCTGAATTGTTTTCCTAAAATTCCTAGGGTCATCCTGATCCTCAAAGGGATATGCTCCAACCAGCATGACATAAAGAGTCACTCCACATGACCATACATCAGCCAACTAAAACAATTTTCACAATGGAACATTAACAGAATCATTGATATATTGGCTACAATAGATGCATATAAAAGACTTTTCCAGGTAGCATGATCAAAGGAACAAAGCTACAAGCAGCAGGCAGAAAGATGAGGTTGACGTCCAACACACACACACACAATATGAAGTAGGGAAGTATAAAGAACCGATTCTATTTAGAGTACAAACCTTGCCATCATACTCCCTCCTGGAAAGAACCTCTGGTGCTATATAAGCTGGAGTTCCAACAGTTGATTTGGGTCGAGAATGAAGCAAAGATGACTAAACCAAAAATAAGAAACATTCAGAAATACAAATGATAAAGTACATATCATTAGAACTTTAAAACAAGATGGTATTCATTCCAGTACCTTGGAATAACCAAAGTCACAAATTTTCAAGCGGGGTGCAGGGCTTCCATCTAAAAGAGTATTTTCTAGCTTCAAATCTCTGTGGCATATTTGCTGCAAAAAGAATAAAAGAATAGGCTCTTCCTCTGTATATTTCTGAGTACAGGGAGTCCAATAATTTTTCAAGAACTTAAGCATGATTATACCATAGCGTGACAGTAGTGGACACCAGAAATCAGCTGCTGAAAGAAATATCTAGCCTGAACAATAAAAGAGGAAAATAAATGAGATATGGCTACAATAGTAATGACACTAAAAGCAAGATTGTGAAGAAAATCCTAAATTATCAACCTCATCTTCACTGAACCTGCCAGCATTGCATATTCTCTCAAAGAGTTCTCCTCCAGCTGCATACTCCATCACTATGGCTAAATGAGTGGGGGTCAAAACCACCTGAAAAATCAAAGCCCCATTGAAATAAAAGAACATAATTAATTAAAAATAGAGTACTCAATACCAATTGATCCAACAGGTTAACAAATAAAGTCCTTGCCTCCTTAAAGCGAATTATATTGGGGTGCCGAAGGGATCTGTGGTTGATAATCTCTCTTGCCACATTCTCATCAATCTGGAATTTGAGGAAGCAAAAACATTTATAATCACAGAAGCCACAACAATAGCTTTTCAATTTAATATATAAAAATATAAACAAGAAACAAATAGGAAGATCCCGCCTTTCCATCTAGCTTCCTTGGCCTTAAAGAAGAATACAAGCAACACGGAGGAAATGAACCAGTCGTAAATTAAATGATTGGATTCGCTAACTCAAATATTAAGTGATAAAATTTTAAGTTCTTAATTCTAACCAGTAATCACATCAACTATCTCAGGAAAAGAGCTGATCCACGTCTGAAAACTAAATAGTATATATAATTGTATTTTCCATCCCCTCCTACATTTCTTCTAATCACGTGTGACGAAATTGTGACAAATGAACATGTTAACAACTTTCCTAGAATTTTCACTTTTCACAAATCAGAGCTCCAACCTCACAAACCCTCCGTCGATCATGTCAAAAGGAAAACAGGAGAGTAATGATAACAAATCTGAAGATTGAATAAAGGAAACCAAACAGGTAAAAAAAAATATTCTTTTAAAAGAAAAAAGAAAGAAAGAAACCTTGTGGCCACGCTCGATGTATTTCATGGCAACAAGCTCCTTGGTCTCCTTGTTCCTCATGAGCCTAGCCACCCCAAAATTCCCAGCCCCCAAATCCTTAACAGCCTCGTACTTTTCCATAATCAAATCCTCAACGATGCCACCAGTTACGGTTACGGATGGAAGAAAGGGCTTAAACTTAAAACTCAAAGGGGCATGCAAGACCCTTGTAGAATCACAACACCATTTTACACTATGATCAAAGGGGCAATATAAAGGTGGTCGCTTTCACTTAAAAAACGGTTCTTTTTTCCACACACAGGCATATAATAATGAATTGAGAGAGAGATGAAGAATTATTTAGAGCGGGGAAGAGGAAAGAGCACGTGGGTGAGTGAGAGAGAAAGCATTAGAAAATTGGGAAGGGATGGGATCCAATCAATGAACATGAAGAAGAGGAAGATAAGCAACTTGAATCACTGTGTTTTGTGTTTTGATTCGAGTTTTGAAAATCAGAGTTTTAGAATTGAGATTGGAATTGGAATTGGTATTAGGAATGGGATCTCTTGCAACGCCGATGCTGTAGGGGACAGGACAGGACACCTTTCTCTTCATTCCTCAATCTTCTTTGTCGTTTTCATAAGCTACCTTCTCTTCTTTTTTGTTTTTATTTTTTTCTCTCTTTAATTTTAATTTAACAGCATCTTTCTTTTTCACTAACCCAAGAACCACTCCACCGTTTAATTTGTTTATTAATCCTAATAGGTAGTGTAACCCCACGTAATTAACTTAGGTTATATGAAATTTTTTGTCCACCTTTCTTTTTATTATTTTTTTTTTTTTGCAAGGTTGTGTTTGTAAAAAAAAAAAAAGTACTTATTTAGTTTTTATTAAGAGAAAAATAGGTACGATACTTTCAGATTTGTTAGGATACGTAAAATCCTAAATTCTAATTTTATTGTTTCCATTTAATTGTGTAAAAAAAGAAAAGGATTTTTCCCCTATACAAAGGTAAAGCTATCTCAGATACTTTTCTCATCTTTGTTTTTTTCCCATTGATTTGGAAGAAATTTTTCATTCTTGTTTATTTAGAATTTTAAATATTTAAAATAGTATTAATTTTTATTTATTAGTTATATATAATATCAAATTTAAAATTTTAGGTTGTCTTTATTTTAAAATATCAAAAATTATCTGTGAGAATATTATATTCAAGTGTATTAATATATCCAAAAATAAAACCGATTCCTTTTACTCACTTTCAAGATATCATACTCAAATATAAATCAATTTTTCAAAATTGACATCATTGATAGACAATGAGAGAGATAAAAGTTTTTAATAAATAAAATAGTTAAGGAACCAATTTTTTTATATATTTTTAATAAAATAATTTTTTATTAATTTTAGTTAATTACTTTAATGAATATTTAAGTATATTACTAAAATAATTAATTTATTATTAATATTTTTATTACTTAAAATAGATACTAAATGAAAATATAAAAGTTATGAATAAAGTGAGAGAGAAAAAATAAGAAATAAAATAAAAATATGAAAAATTTTAGTATTTTTTTATTTCTAAACTAATATTTTTAAATGCCAATTAACTACCAATATTTGTATTAGACAAAAATGATAACAACTTATATCTCTTAATCAAGTTGTCTAGAGTTTAAACTATTTCTTAAAATGGTATAGACTATATTAATACACGAATTTGTATTTTTAATTCTTCTAAAAAAAATTTGAAATTTGATATTAATTATTCAAAAATATTTTATACTATTTTAACTTTTTTAATTTAAAAATGCATCATCTTTTATTTTCAAAATGGTTAAAGTAATATTTGAAAATAAGTGTTATTTAATTAATTTAAAAATAAAAATGATACATTTTCATATTAAAGAAACTAAAATTGTACAACAAAATCAAAAGACTAAATTTATACTTAAGATTTTTCAGGGGAGCCATTTTTTTTTTATCACAAACATCCTCCTTCAAATTCGAAACACAATTGAGCTAATATTTCCTAAACTTTTACTACGTAGTTATTATTATTTTTTTACTTATACTTCCTCCATTCTCAAATAGTAAAAAAATAAATTGATTAAAAAATAAAAAAATAAAAAAAAAATAGTGTGAATTAAATGAAAAGGCGTTGACCAGATTTTGATCCCGTGGGGCATAGCCGACAATCGACATGGAGCACCACCGTCGCTCGATAGTGATTGGCTTTCCTTTTTTTCTTCAATCAGTTACTACTCAGTACTCACCAATCCCATAAATAACTTTGGATTTTTGTCTCCATTAACTTACTACTAGTACTACTATCATTTTCCCATATCAAAAACTACATTTTTCAATCACACTCCCAACAAAATAAACATTTTAATTATATATTATTTTTTTTATCCAAAGAATTCGTTTAAATATTTTTTTAAGATTAAAATATATTTTTTATTTTTTTAATTTTACTTATTTTATCTTTTAATCTTTATAATTTAAAAATATGCATTTTAATTTCTATATTCATTTTTATTAATTATTTTTAGTCTTTATTAATTTTTTTAAGGTTTTATTTTTTATGTTGATGTAGTAAATGTCTTTAATTTTGTTAAAATAAAAAAGTATAAGTATCTCAACAATAAATATCATATATGAGATAAAAAAAATAAATATGAAATATGAAAAATACAAATTTGAGATATCAAAATAAAAGACACATAAAAAATTAATAATAAAATTATAAAGATTAAAAATTATAACTATAAGAATTAAAAAATTTATTTTAAACTATAAAAATTAAAAATAATTAAAAGAATAATCTAAAAATTTAAAAAATATTTTAAATTATAAAAACTAAAAAATAGAATAAGTTAAAGTATATATATATAGTGTTTTTTTTTAATAATGCAGTACCTTAGACAATTAAGTTCAAAATTTATGGCAACATCGTCACACGTTTTCACCACATGCGATTGTCAGTTATCATGTGTCATCTCCCAAATTTTCATGTTCTTCCTACTCATTATACAATCATTTGCTTCCATTTATTATCTCTGCCATATTGTTCTTTTTTCTTTTCTCTCTCTCTCTCTTACTTCATTCTTCTCTTTTTGGTCTCTTCTCTTCAAAATTTCATGTGGAAAAGTTTAATGATATTATCAACCAATAAACAAAATTGAATGAAACTTTGGGCTATATCAGAAACCTACAATTATTAAATACGGCGAGACCAATATTTGCTAGAGCATTTGTAATTTGATTAACTTCTTTAAGGATATAATTATATTTTTTTTAGAAATCAAAGACGTGTTAAACTCTTAAGAATATATTGATGATAACGGAAATTACTAAAAAAACTATGAATCAATTAATATTGAGTTACACGTGTAGTTACAATAAAATATATACAAATTTGCATCCTAATTTTGAATTTAAAACGCTTGTTGACTCATTATTACACCTCCTCATGAAGAAGTTATCCAATATATTTAACTTTCAACGCGAATCTAATTTCTTTAAATCTAGTAGTTATAAGGGGTTTGATAATTATGTATGCTTGTAATTTGATCCATTTGGTACATGAGAAACCAGTAATTTTTTTCGTGTGAACTTGTTCTTTTACAAAATAAGAAACTTAGAAACCAAAGAAATATGTTTCAGGAGTTATAAAGTTTCTTATTTCGTATACGTATAGTTAGAATAAGTTTAACACCCAGAAAATAATGTGGTCTTCCCATATTCTAGAGAGAGAAATCTTGAAATGGGATCAATATATTGTAGTCAAGGAAAAACTTACCATATAAAGGTTTGTGAAAAATAAGTTTTCGTTGATTTTCATTAAAGATACAACATGGACATATATAGAAAGATTTGTTCCTACTGTTATGAGATTGATATAGAGAAACAAAGAATGATTACAAAGATGTGATACAAAGCTACATTTCAATTTCGAATTTCAATCGACTTCGTCGACTAGCCTTAAGCCTATAAGAGTTCATTATATTTCCAAACGTTATTATCGAATTAAAAGAATCTTCATAAAAAAAGTACAAAGGATAATAAATTAAAAATACTTTTTAAAATTTGAATTTTATTATGTTTGAGTGTTGGAAAAAATTTATTCTTAAAACTAATGAATAATTGTCATTTAAGGTAAATAAATAGTTTTCTTCAAAAAAGAAAGGGTAAAAAAAATAGTTGGAATTTCTTTTCTATAATTTAATTAATTTCAATTTAAGAGAAAGGATTTTTTAAAAAAGGTAAAATTTAAAAATACTTAATCAGGTTTAAGATACTTATTTTAAAAAGTTATAATTTAATTAAAGTTTAGAGTTTTTTTTTATAAATAAAAATTTAATGATCTATTAAAACGAAACTGAGTTTAAAACATTAGAAGTTTAAGAGAACTGAATATGTATTTCTTAAACAAGCATATTATTTAGTTTAAAAGTTTTTACACAGATAATTAATGAAAATAATTATTAATTAGACTTGAAAGTAATTATATAAAATTAATAAATTTATTGTATATAATGATTTGTAATTGCAAGATGGTATAAAATAATTTTACACATATGTATATTTATTTTTATTTTCTATATAATAATTATCTTTTTTTCATTATTTTTTCAATTTCTATGTTAACTTTTTAAGAATTTTATTGTAATATATTATGTTGTTTTCCAACAAATTAATTTGTCCCGTACATTACACAACTTTTAAAGAATTTTATTGTAATATATTGAATGTCAACTTTTATGCTTTGGGAAGAAGAAAGAAGAGAATTGAAGGAATAGAAAGAGATAGGTGATAATTGATTTGATATAAAATAAATAAAATTATAGAGAAATTTGTAGTTATTTAATATAATAAAATTATTTAAGAAATAAAAGAAAGTTGATATTTTAAAATTATATTTTATATAACTAAAATTTTATGTAAAAATATATTATTTAGACAATTATATTTTTATCCTCTATTAACTTTTTTAAAATATTCATTTAAACAACAATATAGAGTATATTTTTTTTTGAAAAATTTCATATTAATTTACCCATAAAAGAACAAAGTTAAATTCACATTGTTTTCATTATAATATCATTATAATATCTTTTCAAATCCACTTAAATCTTCATTTTTAAACACATTTTTAATAAAAAAAATTCCTAATAATCATTCATTTTCTTTTTTATTCTCTACTAAATTACCTCCCGAAACGCAATGTTAAATAAATCTTTCTTGATAATATATATTTTTCCTTATACGACACTTGAACTGAGTATCTTTTAACTTATTTCTATCCGCACTATATATGATGTGACCATATGAGTATATTTTTGTTGTTCTTCATAACTTTTATTAACTCGTCCGGTTTTTATTCATTCATGGATGAAGGAAAAAAAGAAGAAGAAGATAATGTTTCTGAACATTACATGATTGTTTTCGAGGTAAAAGAAAAAGAAAAAGGATGATTAGTTGATTAGTTTAACTGCATGACAGACAGGGAACAGAGAAGAATTGAACAATGTTTACACATACGTAGCCCACACTACATAAATAATTGTCATCACATTCATTATATTTTCTACAACGAAAACATTACATGCCAACCAACCATTGGCTATCGCGTTAAAACTACCTTATCTAATTAAGTTGTCAAAATTAAAAGAAAACAAGTATCCATCGTTCTCCACTGCTACTGCCACTATGCCAAATTAATGTTGTTTTTGACACTAGCGTACCCAATCCTTGTCTCTTTTACCCAGTATTCCTTCTTTTGCTTTATATCATTGGCCCACGACTAAAGTTCAGTGAAATGAAGTTCAATTACGCATATAATATTAAGTTTTATTTTAAATTATATTAACATATTTTTAGTTATTTAAATATAATAAAAAAATTATCCCTTAAATTTAAAATTATTTGTTTGGTCTTGTAATTTAACAAATAATTATTTCAATTTTTATACTAAAGTGTTATTAATAAATTTGTTAAACAAAACTCATTTGTTACCCGATCTCTCTCACAAGACTCAAATATCAAATAATGATATTATTATGCGAGGAATTTGATTTCGATTATACTCGAACACACATCAAGATATATTAGTATCAAGAAGCAACTACGATAACGACTTAATGAAGAACAGAAGAAAGTGCTTGAATTCTATTTGAGCAAGGAACGGTTAAAATGGATAATCTCAGAGAGACGGGTCGAAAGTGAAATTAAACAATAATTCGAAAGGAACGGTTACAAGAGGTTATTAGCGGTTGAGAGAAGTTAATCCATGATGTCTAATGTGTAAAGCAGTTATACATCACGTCAAGATCATGTGAAGTAACCACCATTTCCCGTGTTTCTATAAATAAACAAATCCTGTTCATGCAGGAGGTCATAAATTCAATACTCACGCGCTCCTATACATTTCTTGCCTATTATGATGGTTCTTGTGCACGAGATTGTTGAGTATGGTTTATTTGTCACCCTTTTTTTTTTTTTTCTTAGAATAGTTCTATCTTAGTGAGTATAGTGTAGTATTGTAGTTTTGTTACTTCTCATAATTCCTGTGCATTGCAATTTAGAACTTATTGGAAGCAAATAATTATGATTTTTGTCATTAATATATACGTTGTTCATTGGATTCATTTAAATGTTTATCTGCATGAATCTCGTTTCATGATAATCATCGAAGAACATATAGAGATCATTGCATTCTAAATCTGATAAAATTGGAACTTAACTAGTCTAACTTGCTTAGTTATTCATAATTGATATGTAGAAGGTTCATTTTGAAAAATTTATCATACGTAAATAACAGACAGAAGAGACGTAAGGAAAATTGCATGATATACATATCTAAATTGAAAATTGTGCTAGTTCAAATAAAAAGAATCCATAGACGAATTTCACCGCAAACAGATACACAATAGATTCATGATATCAAATAAAAATCGATGAGACTCAAAGTGAGGTATTAACAATAAAAATTACACTTAAGTTCTTTAAGTTAGTTTTTTCAACAAAAAAAAAAAACTTATTTTTTTCATCATTTTTTCGCAAATTATGAACTACTTTTTTTTTTTTTTTAAAGTATACAAATATATTTGATCCAAATTTTATTCATAAATAAAAATTAAACTATAAATAAGTTGAGGCAAATGCATAGTCCATCCAACCATTATTGACGGACTGAGCGAGTTAACCAAAACACCAAACCCGTTTTGTTATAACTTGTCGAGACTCAAGGTGATAAGGAGTAAAGTACTCCAAAGTCCAAAGTTAATCTTTTATTCCTTGAAAGTTGGGCCCCAAAGAAAGTACGCAATTTCATGTTTGGGCTCGGTTCTCATAATGCTTCGGCAATCATCATCTGGGCTGACTTTTGTTAAGATTGGGCCAGCAGATTGTGCTCCTTAGTTGAGCCCACTAGACAATCTTAAGAAGAATCCATAATTGATGTTAACATTTTTTCCCCAAAAATTTAAAAAGGGGCCAAGTTTTAGTAGTAAACAAGAGGGCAATTGTTAATGAAACCAAAAAAAAGAAAACAGGGGTCAACATGTCAGGTTTTCTGTGGTTTGGGCATATATTGATTTTATATATCTTTTATGATCTGGGCATTGATTCGTGATTTAGTCTTCTTTCACATTTGTCCATAAAAAAAGAAAAGAGCATTTAATTAGAACATGAATTATTTTTTCTTTATTGGCAAAAGAAATCCAATGTGGGCCTAGCTAGAACGCTTTAATGGCCTGGACGGAATCATAGGTACAGCTAGACAATAACAAATGACAACAAAAGAGAAGCATGCAAAGTGCAACGCATCCTTTGCTTTTAGGTAACAGCAATACTACTACCGTATAAGTTACCATCTCTTGTGGCTTTGTTGTATTTATCTGGTTAATCACAGCACCATGTTTTCGAAACAAAAGCATGAACATGAAGAATGAATTTGGGTTGGAAAGTGGGGGTGAGTAGGACCATGATCCGTTGGATAATTGAGGCGGCAAAACCGCCGATGATTTGCCTAATTACAACGTTACATTACAAACTGCCAACAAAACTGGTCCCACTTTCCAAGCTGGCACAACACGATCTTCTCTTACACCCTCTCCACTACACCCACGACTCATCACTCATCACTCATCACTCTTTATAACTCCCAAACACAACACCCCCTAACTCCTCAGACACTACCACTATACCTCTTTTCTCTTCACTTCATTACTATTCACCGTCAAACATGGCCGAGGAGGCTTCCAACCAAACCAACACGCCACCTCCCCCAACAGCACAAGAGTCAGTGGTGCAAGTGGAAGAAGTTGTGCTAACTGATGTTCCAAAAACCACTGTTCCAGTGGAAAGAGATTCACAGCCGCAACCTGAACCCGAGCCAGAGAAGAAGCCCGTTGAAGAAAACGTCACTCTCGAGACTCACCTCTCCAAACCCAACACCGATGACAGCACCGATGATAAGATCCCTGAGTTCAAGGAAGAAAGCACCAAACTTTCTGAACTGCCGGAGAACGAGAACAAGGCCCTTCAAGAGCTTAAGAAGCTCGTTCAAGAGGCACTCAACAACCACGAGTTTTTTTCCAAGGAAGAAAAGAAACCACCACCGCCACCAACAACAACAACAACATCAACTTCTGAGAAGGAAGAACCACAGCCACAACAACAAGAAGAAGAAGTTGTAACTGAAGCTGATACTACCCCAGAAAAAACCGAGGAGAACCAAGTTGAAACAAAGAAAGAGGAACAAGGAGAGGAAGAAGAAAAGAAGGAGGAAGTGAAAGAAACAAAGGAAGAAGCTGCTGTGGATGACGATGGAGCAAAAACTGTGGAGGCCATTGAAGAGACCGTTGTTGCTGTCTCTTCTTCTGTTCAGCCTGAAGAGGAAGCTTCTAAACCAGAAGCCAAGGAAGAACCTTCATCACCACTTCCACCCGAAGAAGTTTCCATTTGGGGAATACCACTTCTTGCTGATGAGAGGAGCGATGTGATTCTGCTCAAGTTTCTGCGCGCGAGGGAGTTCAAGGTGAAGGAGGCGTTGGTGATGCTGAAGAACACGATCCGGTGGAGGAAAGAGTTTAAGATGGAGGAGCTGATGGAGGAGAAGCTGGGGGATGAGTTGGAGAAGGTGGTGTTCATGCATGGCTCTGACAAGGAGGGTCACCCTGTGTGTTACAACATCTATGGGGAGTTCCAGAACAAGGAGTTGTACAAGAAGACTTTTTCTGATGAGGAGAAGAGGGAGAAGTTCCTGAGGTGGAGAATTCAGTTCTTGGAGAAGAGTATAAGGAAGTTGGACTTCAACCCTGGTGGCATTTGCACCATTTTTCAGGTCAATGACCTCAAGAACTCTCCTGGACCTGCCAAGTGGGAACTTAGACAAGCCACCAAAAATGCACTTCAATTGCTTCAGGACAATTACCCTGAATTTGTTGCCAAACAGGTACTCTCTTCCACTTTTTTTCGTTCATTGTTTCTAATGATAAATTATTGGAAATTTAAAGTGAGTAGTTTCTCTTAGTAGTCTTGATTATTCTAATTTTGGGGTAACATGCACATGCACAAGGTACTAAGTTCAAACCTTGTTGTAATAATTGTAATTCTTAGTGGTGAAACAAGTAGTACTTATTGTTAGTCTGATAATTCTTTTGGGGTACTCCTTAACATTCTTAAGGATTTGAATGATAAAGTGCAAAGATTGAGATGCAACAACACATTGAATACATATACCAGTCAAATTTTTAACTTTGTTTGTTGGTTCAGGTGTTCATTAATGTGCCATGGTGGTACCTGGCAGTGAATAGGATGATAAGCCCTTTTCTCACTCAGAGGACCAAAAGCAAGTTTGTCTTTGCTGGGCCTTCCAAATCAACGGAAACCCTTTTGAGGTGAAGACATAAAGTTCCAAAATTTGTTTTTCTCTTTGTTGTTTGGTTAGTGGGTGGTTTTTGATTTTTGTCCCCTTGCACTTTCAGATACATAGCTCCGGAGCAGATTCCGGTGAAGTATGGAGGACTAAGCAAAGATGGGGAGTTCGGAAATAACGATGCTGTTACAGAAATCACAGTGAGGCCGGCAGCAAAACATACTGTGGAATTTCCAGTTACTGAGGTGGGTTTTCCTTTGGTTTTTTGTCGAAATTGTTTGGTTTAGGGAATCCAAAGAATGCAGCATCGGAATGCGGAATCTTTCATAGGATTCCTCTTTTCCCATTACTAGTATTACTCATTGTTTGCATTTTTCTCATATTTTATGCCACAAATTGTGCTGGCCTGAAGAAAATTTCAGGAACACAATATATTAGCAAATTGAGAATAAATTAAATCAACATAGAAAGAGTTTAGTCCAATTCGGTTAAAAGGAAAACAAACATAGAAAACAGTTTCTTTCTGTTGCTGTTGCTGGCACTGGGATGTCGGATTAGCCAATTTTTTTTTCATATAATTCTCATTTCTCAATATTGCTAAGAGCCAATAAAATGTGTGGACCACTTTGATGTTTGATTAGCTAGGTTGTACAAACGATAAAGCAACCTTGAATATTAAATTTGACAGATATTTTAATTTTACCTCATAATGATTGATGAGAGAAATTCATGTTCAATCAAGTGAATAAACTTTAGAGGAAAAAAGAGGCAGTGGGTTCAAGAGGACAAAATAAAATTCAACAGCCTATAAACCCTTTAAAGTCTAGATAACTTACCTAATGATGTTGATTATGACATTAATGTCGATTCATGTATAGGGTTGCATATTTATGCTCTACATCTTCAAGTTATTACTATTAGAAGCAGTTATAGGACTTAACTCTGCAAATTAAAACCACGTGTGCAGCAATTAAATCCTACACTAGTACCTTCTTATTGCAATTGATGAATAGATTGAGACTTGTTGTGAACATTTATCTTTATGGTATAACGGTTTTATTTATTAGTGCTATAATTATTTTGTGTGTTTGGTAACATGCAGAACTGCTTACTCTCTTGGGAGCTTAGAGTAATAGGGTGGGAAGTAAGCTATGGTGCAGAATTTGTGCCAAGTTCAGAAGGAAGCTATACAGTGATTGTTCAGAAGGCTAGAAAGGTTGCTTCATCAGAAGACCCAGTGCTTTGCAGCAGTTTCAAAGTTGGTGAACCAGGGAAAGTTGTTCTCACCATTGACAACACAAGTTCTAAGAAGAAGAAGCTCTTGTATCGCTTGAAGACCAAGTCCTCCGACTAAAATTTATCATTGTTATGAGTATGTGCAAGTGGGAAGGGATAGAACATTCCTGCATCAACTTTTACCAAGAGACCAGAGCTTCAAAGATTAAATTTTCCTGCTGTTCATATTGAATATAAAGTTTTTGTTTTATGATTATTATGTGTTCAACCATATTATATGATTATTATATATACCTCTTTCTGTGTTTTTGTTGGTATAATTATTTATTGGTGTTGTTATCATTGAAGATAAATATGAAGGTCCTATTCTGAATTTGGGGGTATCTTTTGAGTTGTTATTCATATTAATTAGGAGGGACTTGTTGCTCCATTTGTATGTTATAAATATCATGTAAATTTTGGTGGGACCTCTCTCTATCTCTGTCGCTCTGTCCGTACCTGAGCATGAAGTGTGTTTGAGAGCTGTCATGATCCGTGTTCCCACCAGGGAAAAAACAGTGATGTGAATGTCTATCATGGCTCTAGATTTCTGCAATATGTCACATTGTTACATTGTGGTTAAGACTTATATTATATCAGCTTTGTTTTTTTCCCTCAGCCAGAAAGGATAAACGAAGTTTTGGTTGTATGTCTAAAAATAACTTCAATCAGATGTGGCTAAAATAGTATTTTGAATCCTGTTAACAACTTTTTAATCAAGTTCTTTTTAATTATAAATTGCATACTAAATAAATTAGTTTATTGTACACCCAACTTAATTGTTAAATTTAAGTTTTATTTGACTGTCTTTTTTTTTTTTTTTTTTTTTTTTTTTTTTTTTTTTTTT